AAGAAGAAACAAAAGGGAGTTTTCTAATTAATTATGATAGAAGAGTCATTATTGACGAAGATATCTTGATCAAAGTACCGACGACCGTTAGTGATTGGAAACTCAAAGAGTACCGGATTCAATTACCTCAACCTGTACGGAAGATTGCTCAACTACAACAATATCCTAATGATTCTAATGAAATCAAGCATATCCTACAAGAAATTGAAGAAACCCCAATCCATCTTCAACGATTAACTTTTATTGGGCACATTTCCGTTTCCGTAATTACATATATTACAATCATTGTACTAATCACTATTTTATGTTTCAAGAAAAAAATCCTAGCTATATTTCAACGATGGAAGAAGAGATCAAGTAGTTTACAAGAAGATGTTAAAGAATATGAGATGGACAATTTACAACCCGTTACCCTAACATACCCGAAAATAGTGTGAGACGAGGACGTCTAAACTAAGGGAGGAGGTGTAATATATAGTGTAAAATATATAACTATGATATATAAAATATACAAGGTGTAAGGTGTAAAAGGCTATTAAGGGTAATTAACTTTCACAACNGAAAACTGTACTGTATGACTTTCATTATAATTACTCTAATTGTACACATGCATACAGATACACGTACATACATACACAGCAGATAACCGCCAATTATACTTATAATTCTATCGCTTAGGATGCATTACAAACAAAACGGACGCACACAAACACATACAGTCATACATACATACATACATACATGCATACATACATACATACATATATCTATTATACATACATACATACATATATCTATGGATACATACATACATACATACATACATACATACATACATACATACATACATACATACATACATACATACATACATACATACATACATACATACATACATACATACATACATACATACATACATACATACATACATACATACATACATACATACATACATACATACATACATACATACATACATACATACATACATACATACATACATACATACATACATACATACATACATACATACATACATACATACATACATACATACATACATACATACATACATACATACATACATACATACATACATACATACATACATACATACATACATACATACATACATACATACATACATACATACATACATACATACATACATACATACATACATACATACATACATACATACATACATACATACATACATACATACATACATACATACATACATACATACATACATACATACATACATACATACATACATACATACATACATACATACATACATACATACATACATACATACATACATACATACATACATACATACATACATACATACATACATACATACATACATACATACATACATACATACATACATACATACATACATACATACATACATACATACATACATACATACATACATACATACATACATACATACATACATACATACATACATACATACATACATACATACATACATACATACATACATACATACATACATACATACATACATACATACATACATACATACATACATACATACATACATACATACATNTGCATTAGTGAATTAATTTTTTGAATTAACTTTACCCACTAACAAAAAATCTAACCTAACCTAACCTAAGACTGATAATAAATATGGAATTTATTATTCTACTAACAGATGTCACACAAACATTCATTTTAGGCTCCAGTCTATCATAAATCGACCTAAACAAATAATGACGTCACCAATGTATAAAGGCACATCTCCAAACAGTTTGCTGTATTATTGCCTATTTCATATATTGGATCTATCAGCCCGCGGCGGGCAGGGGCATTAATGAAACTCCAGTCTGTCATAAATCTACCTAATAAGCATACAATAACGTCACTAGCTCCAGTCTGTAATAATTCTACCTACACATTACATTATATAAAAAACGATTGGCGTCACACAAACATTCATTTTAGTCGGCAAAAAACAAATATAATAAAAGTACACAATTTCGGTCAACATAAAGCGATTTGAAGGATTAATTGTCCGGAATTTTTTGCCCTGGGAATATTTTGTCGGAGGATATTTTCTCCGGGTATATTTTATCCGGAGATATTTTGTCGGAGGATGAAGACGCCTGATACCAAAAAAATGAAGCAATCTCTATTTTTAGGCTCTGTCAACTATCTAAATATCTTAATTCATGTGTTATAAAGTTTTTATCTCATTTGTACTTACTTAGATGTTTGTGTTCACAGAACATTTATTGAGTTTTATATTAAACCATATCACAACTTTTATTAGATGTTATTCTAAAAATTTTTCAAAATTTAGAAAAAGTGAGGACCATGTTTGTAATATAACAAAATGTTCCTTTGCTCTTTACGAGGGAGTATACATAAAAGGATGTAATTTCTAGAAAGAGCCCAGTGTTTTATTCCTCCAGCTGCTGCAAGAATTGGTGACTCAAACGAACGAAGTGTTGGCTGTTTATTCAAAGGTTTAAAATGTCGCAAAACCTTTTGCAGTTACCTTATGCATTCATATGTTTGGAGAAAAATAACAATAAGTTAATAACCACTCCCTATAATGATCAGACCGGAAATATGTCAACGGAAACATTTCATTCAAGTAATGCAGAAGTACTTCCCTTATTAATTTATTTTGATGATTTTGAAACATCTAATCCTTTAGGCAGTCATGTTTGAAAAATTAAAACAGGTGCTGTTTATTTTGCTATTGGATGCATTAATCCTCCATACGAAGGACGTCTATAAAACATGTAGGTATATGTATTTTTAGAAGTCACTGAAATTAGTATTAAAATAGAATATCAATATCTTAATGTATTTTTCTCATTGGTTGCTTTATACTTTATAAGTAGGACGGATAATCCTAACTTCTGCTGTACTCCAAATTAATATTGTACAGCTAATTTGTGCTGTTTCCTTTAAAATAATTAAAGTCCGCTTTTTGTTGAAAACTTTAATATATAAAGGATCGACCAAATGGAGTCCACAAGATAAATATGTACCCTTAACTATAATGAAATTAACCAGCTTAAATTTAAGAACCACAAATTGAAAGTAAAAGGAATTATTTTTGAATCTTAATGTTTTTGAATTGAGCTCTCGTTGTCAACTGACAGAACTGCCACCTGGATATTTTAAATTGCTGTTCAAATAAATTGCATACAAACAAGAAACCTTACAACAACTTATTATAAGATTGGAATGCGGGTAGTAACAGCAATAGATGAATTTCTGAGATGTATGACAATAGCAAATATTGAACTATACGTATCTTAACTGAAATTTGGAAAGTCCAGCCTAAATGGTTTTAAATGACATTATTGCAAACTATACCTGGAACTTGAATATTAACAACTTTGAGAATAAAGATTATTTGAAAGAGCATACTAAAAATGTATATAAAATTAGTCTAATAGATTAAATAAAAGCATGAATAATAACTAACAACTAAACTTAATTACATAAATGATAAAAAATACAATTAGCGACGGACCAGTGTATATAATGTCACTTTCTGTATTTCAAGTACTAAACAAGAAACATTTTTAAATTGTGATGCACAACATAAAGGGATACCCAGGCAACTGGATTATTGGCGAATAATTCGAGTATAAATTTAAGCAGTGATAACTCAGCCACAGTACTCTATAGTCGACGTTTACAGATTCGTTTTAAATTATTAGCATAACCGATCATATGAAGTTTCTATTACATGCAATCATCAAAGGGTGCATTATCATTTGTGTAGGATAATTCGTAGGAATACCTTCAGCGATTTTTTCATATATAAGTAATAGAGAAATATAACTCCAATAAATGCAATTTAAAAGTTTTGTAGGTAAGTAACTTCCTTCGCATGCCTAATACTATTCTAGCAGTTTTTAATAATGTTGATCAAAACAAACAATTTTCAATTTTTTCTTTATTAATAATTTTTGTACAATAAAACTTTCTTACAGTACATAAAAGCACAATTAATTGCTGACTTCCATTCTCAAGAAATCCCACATTATCATTCTGTCGAAATGATTCTGACTTACTGGGCCAGGAGGCGTGAATTCTAGAAGATTGTTGTCCTTCAGTAGTGACTGACTAAATGTTACAGTTTGCTGACGGAATATGCCATGACAAGAGTGACGAAACAGCGCAGAATCAACTTGTGGCCCGTCAAAAGAGTCCAACTTAAAAATCTCCTGACCGTTGACCACCGCACGAATACCACCTCTGACGCTAGCAGCAAAACCTAGTGTTAATGTGGCGTTGCCTTGGGTTGATCCGGTATAGTTGAATCTGACCTTCCAGTTGGTAGGAAGCGCATTTTGGGTGACATTGACCAGTCCGAGTTGAGCGGGGAAGCCAGGTGTCTTAATCATCGGCATAAAATAGCACCAGTCTTTGGCAGGGTCACTAACGCCTACTGTGTAGTCCGGATCATTAGGAAATTCTATGGAATATCTCAACCACGTGCCAAACTTGCGGTATTCTAAGAAAATTATCGCATTTGACAGTTTTAAAATTGAATTATTTGGTACTCGAAAATTTTAGTATTACTTAATACTTAACCATGTAATACTTAAATACCGGATTCTTGAATTGAGTATGTTTTGTGTCACTGTCACATAGTGGTTGATATAACTAATCAATGAGTACTTTACCAAGTGATCATTGGATGCCGTCAAATTGGTAATCATCATCATCATAAGGTCGTCAGTCCGAAGACTGGTTGGACACGTACCTCCACTCTTTTCTATCCTGAGCTAAACTTCGCATTTCCCTAAAACTAGAACAACCCACATCTTTAACATTTGCGGACCTAGGTCTACCTCTACCCCTCCTAACTCCTGTTTCTGCCTCTAATATGTCTCTGACTACACCTTCATGCCTTGAAAGGTGTCCTACCAACCTATCTCGCCTATTTTTTATTGACTTCCGTAGAGTCCTCTGTTCTCCCATTCTTTCTAATACGTCTTCATTTCCAACCTTTTTTACCCACGTTATCCTCATCATTCGCATATAACACCACATTTCATGTCCATGTTTTGCACCCGTACTCCGCCGCTCTCCAAACATACACCTTTAACAACCTTTTTCGAATTTCTAAATTAACCGTTCGTAAGCATAGAAGTGACTTCTTTTTATTAAAGGCGACAAGACCCTGCGTTATCCTCTGCTTTATATCCCTACTACTCCTTCCGTCCTGACTTATCTGATTTCCTAGATATCTAAAATCAGCCACCTCTTCTAATTTTTCGTATCCTATCTTTATATTCGCTCTTTCCCTACTTTTTCTTCCCTTGCATACCAGTATTTTAGTTTTACTATTATTTATTTTCATACAGTACTAATCTATCAGTACCGCTTCCATTTTATTTAAAGCTGTCTCTAGGTCCTCCTTGATAGATGCTAATGCTGCTATATCATCTGCAAATCTAAGCATGTTTGCCCCTGTATATCTATCCCTACAGTTGTACTGTCTTTAATGATGCTGATCGCGTCTTCGATGTATAGATTAAAAAGTAGCGGCGACAGTGTGCATCCCTGCCTGACTCCCTTCCTAATATTTACTTCTCTACGTTGCAGCCCTACCTCTATAACTGCCTGTTGCTCTTTATAAGATAACAGTAATTATCGAAGGATCAAGACCAAAATATTATAAACTACTGTCGAAAAGGGATTCATACACCAATCATTGTACATGAGAACTCTACGCGTTTATCATCTATTTTTACTTTACAGTTGCAAGTCTCACTTGACTAGTCAATGATTTTATTAAATAATAGAGTACCTTCTAAATTAGGGATAGGTGATGGAAATCCTCTTGGAGATTTAAACTCTGCCGAAGTTCTATCGGGTACACCGATCTGCCAGAGTAGTTTGCCATGGCTTTCTTGACTCCAATTGATTATTCCAAGATTGCTTTTCCTATACCCTTGCACATTAATGTTGTTTTGAATGTATTTTCCAATCACACCCTTTGCTATTACTTGCAGCTTATACGTGCCTGGTCTTACAGCTGGTATTGTAAATGTACCTAATGATAACCACAGCTTTTATTATCCTTAATATATCTTAAAAATAATCAGTTCAAAATTTGTTTGGTCTAACATAAGAAATTCTTTTTGATGAGCATTTACAACCAATTCGAAGTTCAACATTTTAAAATAAATGGGGTTCTGAATGACCCATTGTAAAAATTAGCAAAATTGTCAAGTTGTGAATATCGATATAATTTATAATCAAATGTTAATGGTCAAAATCTTAATTCTAATAATACTAGCAATAATTTGAAAACTACCATTTTGATCAGCAATTGCAGAATACATGTAAGTGGCCGTCTCTAACTGTGGGTCATCAACGTGAGGTTCGGTCAGAATAAAGTATTCCCATTCATAAGTCGGCGTCCCATGTATACTTATTGTCCCCTCCACACTGCCCCTCCCTTGCGCATTGTACTCTGGTGCGGTGACAAACTGGTACGGCCACTTCTTCTCCTCATCACTGAGTTGTCTCTGAGCGTCGGAATACATTTGCGAAAGACTTTGACCATCATTGAGATATAAGCCGATCGGACCGTACACTTTGCTCCATCCCCTGGTGGGCGCCAGTTCTGGTGTGCCGTAATCTCCTGTATGTTCGCAGAAGAGCAGCATTTGACCGGCGTGCGTTGTCAGGCTCTAAAGCAGTGATTCCGTGAAAGTTGCTTTGAAAAAATATTAATATAAACAGTCCATTTCAATTTGTTAGAATTGTGACCTTGAAGAAATCTGCGCTAAGATAGAAAGAATACACACTAGGCGTGAGCAATACAGAAATAGTTGGAACAAGCTTGAACGAGAAGAGCTCTCGATGGGCGGTCTTAGGAGATCGGCTAGAACTGTACAGTACTAGACGAAAATGTTGAGCAATTTCTTAAAACAAAAATGTATATATCAATATTAACAATAGAAAACAAAGCAAAAGTTTTATAGGTGTGTAGAACGTTAAGTTAATTCACTTATTATTTTAGGCTAAATATGCTTTGTTTTAGGCTAAATATGCTTTTAAATAAATTTTAACGAGGCATTTTAAATACTTTTGCAAATGGTACTGTACACTTTTGCCTAGTTCTCGCTTTATGATCGGTAAAGAAATGAGCTTCGCGGACAAATATGATTGAATTTGGAATTATGCTACGGCGCATCCTAATAAAAGCAAGGGGCATATCTCTAACTTCATGAAACGAACAGTATTTGTGTGTTACTTATAATTTCTCGAAAAATACCCATGAATATCTATACAGCGCATTCTACATATAAAAAATAAAATAGAAAAAGAGATTGACGAGGAGGAGAAGTTAATGGTGTAAATGTGTCCAAAATCTACAAGGAAATTGTGTAAAGATTGTACTGCATAAAAAAAAAGTAAACCGACGCCCTGCAATTCTTATTATACCAACGTTTACCCTATTGTTAGGATTTTTTTGATTATGTTATACCTATGATCTATAAGTCAAACAAAATTAATGTCGTTTTTTTAATTGTTTAGGATATTTTGAGATAAAATGTATTATGTATCAAAATCCAAAGATTGTCGTTTCAGCAATTAATTTTCCTTTAAACATACTTTTTATTATTTAACAAATAAAATAATCCCATAAGTAGACATAAAAACAATAAATATATAATAAATAAATATTGTGCTAATTTTTCATAAAGTAAAATTGCAGTCCAGGAGATGTCACATTTGGTAAAGTGTGACTGTACTGCCACGTCGGTGGTTACGGGTTAATATACATTTAGAAAAAGGTTATCAATTGCAAAATTCGAATTAGATGAATTACTCATGAGTATCAAGGTGCTTAAATAAATTTAAGAACAGATATTTATTATAATTTCCAATTTAATAATAACCAACCTGTTTGAATGGTCCACCGCTGACCCACTCTTTGTGTGTCTGCAATAAAGATAGTCCGATGCGATCGCCATAAATACCGAACACAGTGTTTATGTCTTCATTAGCCGATATTTGCTGATATTTCGAGTAAACTGATCCGTCTGGGAACATATAGGTCGAGTTCTGTACAGACTGAGCAGAGTTAATGGCCTGCTGGGTAGGCATAGGTCCTGCCCTTTTTCCATCTACGCTGTAGTACTTGAATAGGTCCTCGTTAGCTCTTATTGCCCATCTTAGCTGACCGGCAGTATAACCATCTCTTTGGTACTTGTGAATGGAATAGTAGTAAAACATGGATGAATTCTTTTCGAGGGTCAAATGAAACTCAAAGTGAATTGGCCAATTGCTTGTGTTCTTGTTGATGAATCCCAAGTCGATAAGGTTAGTCTAGTTAATTTAAAAAATTCCAGTTATTATTATTAATAACAGTCAAATAGAAAGTATATAAACACGGTTAATTGCCGTTCGTTTAGATTATCAACTTCTTATAAACTACACTTATACACTTTGAATTTTTTTATGGTTAAGTTTAGTGCTTTAGTGAATTAATTTTTTGAATTAACTTTACCCACTAGTTTAAGAAACTTGTTAAGTACAATTGTTTAATTGAAAAGTCGCAAATATTTGATGATATTGATTCTAAATATTTTATTTAAATGAAATGAATTCATTATTTATCGTTTTGAATATTAGTGTGTTTCATATTATCTAGCTAAAATGTCTGATCCATTTCTATTGTTCTCTTATCGTCCTTTATGTTTAATGTGAGATTACGGTAAAAACACTCTAAGTTTTAATAGTACACATCTTGTAAAACCTAATTTTATATAAAGTCAAATCACCAAATTAAAAAACTACAAACTCTAATTTCTCTACTTCAGAAAGTTAGTATAAGTAAATGAAAAGATTGTTAGAAAAAGGTATTTTGAAGTATTTAACGTTTGGCCACACTCACATTCTGTGTAATCTTCATTTCTCCTACATCAGGTCCGGTCGTCAATTCCTTGCCGTCGACACTAATAACGGCAATGTAATAGGCAGAGCCGCCTCTCAGCAGGTTGGTCCATTTGATATTAGTATCAACATGCGAATTATAATAAAGTGCAGTGATCTGTCCCTTTGCTTTGTTAATAGTCATTGATAGCCTTTCGTTTTCGAGTACCACATTATCGCCGTCGGTGACACAAAGGCGTTGGAACGATCGTGTGTTACATTGTTGACCTTAACAACGGACTGATTTCATGAAATGTAATATTATTGAACAATAGGAAAAATTAAAAATTCATACACCAGTGTTTTACTTTAAATGTATTCATAAACTACCGAATGGATATCACAGCCGGTTTGTTTAGTTGTGACCCTCGTAATGAAAATCATTTAATTTACTTATGGAGTATAATTTATTTGTTGAAGCATCTTATATTTTATAAGATTTAGAAAATATTTTCGTACCTATATACCTTTAAACTGAAACGTTTTATAATTTGAAATACCTTCCTCTCATCTGATATTTACAACAGTAATGCAATCGTAAGTGACTGTCTGGTCAAGTGGGTTTCATAAATTGTAAAATAATAAATGAGTAAATACACGAGTGATGTTTTCAAGCAGTAAAGCTTAAATACTATAAGCTTATTTCGAAAATAAGATACATTTTGTTATGTACAGCAAACTTACATGCGTTAATATTAATTGATCAAAGAATCACTTGACTACACGCCAACTATGCACACAATTTATTTGCTGAAATTCTGACCTTAAAAGATTCATATTATCACGTTAATAGCATTTAAATAGCTTACCTGACGAACCATGAACAAGTAGCAGAGCTAAAGTCGCTATTAGTAATTTAGTTGACATTTTCGACGAAATGACAATTGAGAATTGAAAAAAAAAATCAATATATTTATGTCTTGAATGTAAAGATCAATTAATCTGATAGTAATTCATTCAAATAAAAAACACTTGATATTATCTGAAAAACGATAATGTTGATCCTATCGTCATGCTGCAGTTCAACCGGCTAGACGTGGAGTTATAAGACAGTCTGCTAGAGTTATCAGCTCTTCAGTTTAAGTCCAATTCATAAAGAATAATTTCCGAAGTCAGTTGACTTACAGATCGTGATGAGCAAAATTAGTCTTGGTCTTGGTCTTGCTTTGCTCATTACTACTTACAGAAGACATTATCTTGAACAATACAAAACAATTCCGAAACTGCCTGGGAAACCACCGATCTCTAGAAGCAACCTAATTCTGAATTGGGTGTCTAATGACATTGAATATTATCAGGTTGGTTATATGTTGGTATCAACTATAGACAAAACAGAAAGTGGTAATGGTTGTTACTCAAATATTTGAACAATTTGTTCTAAATGTGATGCTAATATTTGTATACCTCATCTATAACTTCACTTTTCATATTGAATAAACCTATTTGAAAATTTTCTATTCTATACACCATTAACGGATTGTTAAAGGGTTAAAGATACTTTATCACTTTTGGAAGACTGACATTCGATATTAATCATTCATTCATTTAATGAATAAATTTAACTATGCTTGCCATAAAGTGCTTCTTAATTCAGACATAAAACACACAAACAAATAAACGGTACAGCAACGGACAATACTCTCTCCCGTCATTTAAGTGATGTCTACTTTGAAAGAGAACTAAAGACGAATCTAATTTGTTCCTAAAACCGTGGGTACGTTATGTTATGATGTACATACGTTCTGCACTGGCCTTGAATACACGCGTTGTTTCATACAACCCCACACAAATAAATCAAATGGATTTACATCAGCACTAAGCGCTGGTCATGATACAGGACCCGTTCATTTTAGGAAAATGTTCGCCTAGAAACATACGCATTGGTCAGTGCAATAATACTAGTCTGCACTAACCTATGACACTGACACACTGACCTACTTCTTCGAATGACTGACAGTCTACAAACATACGCAATACAAGCCCAGAAACGTTAAAAGAACTACTCTAGGCTGGCTGTAAACATAAACATTATTAATCACACTTAATCTAGTCTAAACAACACTGATGCTGCTATGTAGCAGTTGAGTGAATGCGGCATTGCAATACCCTACTATTTTGTGTGATCCTGCCAAGGCCGGACTGGTCTGCGTTATTTCAACCCATAATAAAAGCGCAATTTTTAATAACACACGAATCGTAAGTTAATTTTACCTGTAAAAAATATGTAATTTTCTTGACGCACAACATAGGTGTCAAACCAACTCATACGAATTGTATTTAATTTATACACATTATGTGGGTTATTGAACGCATATGATCCGCGTTTCATATCCGTCAAATACTTCAATTGTTCTGTGCAACCGGAATGATTTCAGTCAAAATGATTTAAGTGATGGAGAAACAGTTGAATTGAATTTAAATGTTCTTTATAGTGAACCAGAGACGGTTGTATCCAACGAAAATTTCAAAATACAAGAATATATGGAATGTGAAGCTGATATAAATGTAAGTTATTTAGTAGTTCATTTACAAACTTTGATTAAAACATAGTAAATTGTAACAACCGCATGATATTTTATTATTTTATTGGAAATTTGCTTACAGACTAAGAAAGACGAAAACAATAAAGTGGATACTCTTGCAATTCCTGGATGTAGAAGTTCACTCACGAAGGCTTCATTACAACCCCAACATCGTCAGTTAAACGTGAAGAAAACTAAAGAAATACCAAGGTTAATGAATTGATTTTTATACAAATCTACAATTTCAATTTTTTTTAAGTACTACTAATTTTATATTATGAAGAATGAATAACGTTAATTATTCATTTTCTGATTTCATAATTTATGTTCAGTCAATTTCATATTTTCATGTATTCAGTTCTAATTGAAACCTTATATGTAAAATTGAAAGAAACCAATGCTTTTTTGAGGTTATATTTCATGCAGTTTCTCTAAAATTTACACATTAATAATGCGTTATATTGTTATGTTAATGCACCGATAACGTGTTTAAATAACGCACTTGCACGGGTAATTTTAACGCGGATGAAGTACATTTTAAAAATATTCACATAAAAATGCGTATAAAGTGACTACATCGAAATAACGCACCTAAGTGAATTAAAATAACTCATCTAGATTTACAGATTTACAAATACGTTTTGTTCGAAAATGGAGGACTTTCGAACCACCATAAATTTACTTGTTTTATAGTATCCTATCACCTCCAGTAAGCTTGCTACTTATTCTATATAACAAAGAAATTCGGAGTGGTAAGTATTCTGCCACACGCGGATCGCGATTTCAATCTTGTTGGATCTGGTCTGTGCTTTGTCGAAACAGTCTGCGATGCGCTGACAAGATCGAAATCGCGATCTGCGTCCGGCAGTTTCGACAGAATACTGAATACTTCCAATTTCTTTGTTCAGCAAGTAGATAGATACCCATCTATTTAAATGAACCTTCTTGAGCATATTGAATTCCACAAAATATAGCATTGTACTACAAATGGCGTTTACTGCGTCATTTGTAGGATTTCATATTCTATAGAATATGTACTTTTGCTATAACAGAGGTTATTAAAGTTGGAAATCTGCATTAAAGAATTAAAATTAGATCTCTATTTTAACTAGCACTCATTCCTATAATAATCGACGCATTTGAGGAAACGTACATTTCCGATTTCTGCTACGTGTGCGATACGTAAACATAACATTAAAATATAATCTCGAAATATGATAAATATTAATATAGATATACGCGTGTTCAGTGTTTTAACTTTCTACAATTGTTTTTTTCACCTTGTCAACAATAGATACGTTCCAAATTAATTGTTTACACTAAGAAAAAGTACTCAGTGTCACGCATGATTTGTTTTGATATCTACGTGCAGTGAAGTATTTTTAAATATTAATTAATCATTACTTTTTATAAATTATTTGACATTATCTTTACGTATCGCACACGTGGCAAAAAGCAGAAAATGTGTTGTCAAACGACCGATTATTATAGGAATCATCATCATAAGGTCGTCAGTCCTCAGAGTGGTTGGACACGCACCTCCACTTTTTCCTATCCTGAGGTAATCTTCGCATTTCCTTAAAACTGGAACATTCCACATAACTATTTTTGAACAGTAATCTAATCTAGGTCTACCTCTACTCCTCCTAACTCCTGTTTCTGCCTCTATTATGTGTCTGACTAGCCCTTAATACCTGAGAAGATGTCCTACCAACCTATCTCGTCTATTTCTTATTGACTTCCAAAGAGTCTTCTGTTCTCCTATTCTTTCTAATCTGTCTCCTATCTTTACATTCGCTCTTTATCTACTTTTTCTTCCCTTGCATGCCAGTATTTTTGTTTTACTTTTATTTTTTCTCATACAATACTGTTTTGTCAACACCGCTTCCATTTTATTTAAAGCTATCTCTAAGTCCTCCTTGCTAGATGATAATACTGCTATATCATCTACAAATCTAAGCATACTAATCTTTTGCTCCGGTATATCTACACAGTTGGACAGTCTTTAATGATGTTGATCGCGTCTTCGATGTATAGATTAAAAAGTACCGGTGCCAGTGTGCATCCCTGCCTGACCCCTCATTCTAATATCTACTTCTCTACGTTGCAGCCCCAGCTCTATAACTACCTGTTGCTCTTTAAACAAACTAAGTATAACTCATCCCTACATTTTTAAGTATATTTAACATCTTGTCGCATTTAACATTGTCAAAAACCTTTTCCACATCAGATTATAGGAATGAATACTAGTGTAAATGAATCTTTTATTTTATTACATTAAAAGCGCCTTTCCGATTTTAACGAACTTTGTTTAGTGAAAGTAGGCATTCTAGACTAGGGGTGGCCTACTCGCGGCTCACCAGTTTTCCGGCCTGCGAGATTCATCGTACTTTTACAAAATGTATTTATTTTATAATGGCCAAAGTAGTGAAAACCAGTGTAATTAAAAAATGCATTATATATTATATCAATGTATTCAAAAATTAGCTATTGAAATTATGAGAAAAAATTAACTTTGGTCATAACACAATATTCTTGTGAATATTTGACAAATATTGCCGGTTTTATTAATGACTTCACATTTTAAAAAATGTCTGTTGTGGATCTAGATCTAATATGGAGTTGCTCTTTTTCAGTAAACTTACGGGACACTAATCGAAAGTGGGTCCGCATTACTCAGGCATACAATAGAAGTCTGACGGAAAATTATACAGATGACAACGAGCGACCGAAAGAAAAATTATTCAAACCATTTATACAACAAGAATTGGATCTATTTTTTGATGTTCTTATTATTTACATGGAGCATATTTCACAATTGGTCTCAAATGACAGACTTGTGTAGAAAGTTTCCAAAACCCTTAAGTTTTCAATTGTGCCGTAAAAATATAGAACAGAGATCAAACAATTCTATGCTGCCATCAAAATTAATTATTACATCTGCAATGCAAAACGTGCTTGTTAGTGAAGTAAGGCTTTCCATTTCTTCTGGATTTACGACTTCTACAATTCGTAGACGAGATTCTACAGTTCGTAGATGAGATGTGCCAAGATGGCACTTGCAATCGTTGGTATCGTATTCATCTAAAGGGAATTCAAACGAAAGTAAAAGAAAACGTGAAAAATCTGCACCAACTGCAGACGACCACTTTGTGATGAACATGCAGTTACTCGTCCAAAATGTATCACCTCCTTCCAGAGGTCTACTATAATCTGTATAACATAAAATTTGTATTCTTTGTATTAATGAAACATTTTGATATGTGTATGCAATATCACTTTTTGAAATCCGAATTTTTATCAGGCACACCGATCTTGAAACTTCAACGTACCACAACTAACTTAAACAAACTGTTTTAACCAATTTAAATACATTTTCCTTATTCATAATTTTTATTCCTGATTCTGCAAAGTCACAGTTCTACCTAGCCAGCCATTTTCAGCAGCTCCGCACTCTTGGAGGGATTTTCGATTTTCATCCGCTGCTTCCCCTTCCGACGCCAGTTCCTACCAAACCGACCCAATGTCAAATCCTAACTTGTCCAAGGCCATTTCCGACAGCTCCGTTAAACGGCAGCAACCGTTCCTGTCGTCGTCCGAACCCTCCTCCTCTGAAAACGAATCGGACTTAGAACCTTCCAATCTAAGTCAAAAATCTCCCCCCTCAAATCGTCATACGTCATACGTCAAAAGTCCCTTTGGCTGAAAATTCTTCGTGCCATGGACATTAGCGCCCGTAGGTCAATTAATACTCAAGACTCAATTCGTGTCTACCCCAGCTCCATCGACAATTTTCGTCGTCTATCCTCTTTCCTGGACGAATCCAAAGTCCAATTCTCTACAAACCATCTACAACTCAACGACAAAGGCTTTATTATCAAAGGCATCCATCGGATGTGCAAAGATAACAAAATGTAGCCCTTTGTCACCGTCTGACTTGATAAGACCGCTTCAAATTCCAGTGGACCTTGCCGAATTTCACGAGCGTACCAAAGTAGTCTCCCACAACTTCGTTCCCCTGTATTCCAACTTCAAACACACGTCCCCACGCGAAATATTCCTCACCATCCGATCTCTAAAATACAGAAATGCCCCTGGCGCTGACGGAATTCCTTACAGTCCTGCCGTCAAAGCACATAGCCGCTCTGTGCAACATATAAAACGCCATCATGCGGCTCCACCACTTCCCTTTGGTATGAAAAGAACCCACGGTCATCTGTCTCCCCAAAAAGGGAAGCCCCTCAGCTCTCCCTCAATCTATAGGCCCATCAGCCTGCTCAGTTCGTTGAGCAAAGTAATTGAATCAATCCTTCTCGATCGGCTCTTAGACCACGTGGGGCAAAACAACCTTCTCCCCGATCATCAACATGGCACCGGCCACCAACTTCTTCTCGTATCCGAATACATTTCCGACAATCTTAATAAGCGGCGTCACACCTCCATGCTTCTTTTTGACGTCTATCAAGCGTGCGGCCGAGTCTGGGACGAACGCCTTATCTCAAAACTCATCGCCCTTAACATTCCACATTTTCTAGTTGGGGTTATCAGGTCCTTTCTCACAGATAGAAGCCTTCGGGTCTTCGACAAAGGAAAAATTGTTGCTGTCGTCACTCTCCTGTCGGAAATCGAACCTAGAAATAGAGTACTGGTGCGTAAAACCAAGGGCCGAGGAATTGAACTCGGGAGTAGAATATTGAACGTTTACGCTTTACTATTCTAACATCAATTAGTTTCACCAACGGACGTCTCACAAAACCCACCTTTAATACGGACCCCTATCTAATAAATTTAATTTTGCACGTTTTTATTGGTTTCGGTTAAAATTCTTAGAAAGGGATTAAAATAATATCATTAGGTTTAGATTGAATATTAATTTATTTATAACTAAGGAGAACACCTTGAGTTCCGAAACGCGTATTCATTTTTTAAACGTTTGGTCCATATAGTTCGGGAATCGTTTGGTACATCATAGACTGGTGTTGGGTACAGGGGAATAGTTTCCTCCCGGAAATCAAGGAAGAATAAAGGTACGACCGTTTAACAGAATTTCTACTACTAATTAGACTAATGATTTGTTGTTTGTTTGAATATATAGGGTGTTTCATTTATAATAACCAATATTTATTTCACAGATCCCTACGGATATTTGGAACATAAAATGTTATAACACTTTTGATTTTTGAAACAAAATAAAAAATTATAGTTATAATAGTTTTTATTAAATTTTATTCTTTATCAAATTATACTCGACGACAATTTAATTTTTATGTCTGACTGTTTGCCACGTGCTCTCTTATCATACTGTAGCAAGCACGAGCGTGTTTGTGTGCGATCAGGCACAAGTGTGTGTGAGTGGCTTTTATCGATTCGCAGACTAGTCGCCGTATTTGTAAATGTGTGTCGTATCTGCGTTCTGGGTAAGCAGTTAACAGTTAAAAGTAAAAGAAACTTTTCCGGACGTTTCGAGAAGTTTCCCTAAAGGAAACAAAAGAGTATTTAAAGGAAGAGACTATCGCTGAGAGAGAGTAGAAATAAATAGAATAATTTATAACCTAAGTTTAGTAATAATTTAATAGTGTTTTTAAGTTCTTCAATAATTAGTGTAAATAATAGTTTTGTCGTTATCAGTATTAGAAGTTAATTTTGTTAAACCCACGAACTTACAATACATATATTATGTTCACTGAGTTTCTACGTGCTCTTTTAATTTTATATTAATTACAATTATCTTTATAATCGTGTTGTCTAAACAATTCTATTTCTGAGTACTTGTTTTATCTTTATTCTGAGATGTGTATATTCGTGTTATCATACTTAATGTCCTTAAAGTGTAATACATACCTTTTTTACATTCATATGGGAGAGGTGGCATGAAAGGGACACGTATTGAAAGGGACAACTCAAGTTATTGATAAATAACCAATTTTCTCGGGATAGAAATACTTTTGTTGTGTGGTAACATCGATTCTCACTCATTTGCACCTAAATTCACAGTAAATATGAAGATTGGAAAAACTTTGGCGGTTGTTGTAGAACAAACAGAATAGTTCAAAACCCCAACGCCAAAACACGACACTGTAGTTGTCCGAAGCACTTTTCGGTAACAAAGTTACCTTCTTCAGGGACTGAAGTAAACTAAACCTAAATGAGAACTAANTAAAGAACACGGGATTACGGTTCTATCATTTCCACCCCACTGCAGCCATAAGCTGCAGCCTCTAGACAGGACAGTTTATGGTCCACTAAAGAAGTATTTCAACCAAGCAAGCGATAACTGGTTAGCAAGTCACCTGGGAAAGACTATAACGATTTATGACATCCCTGAGTTGGTGAAAACATCATTGCCATTAGCAGCTACAATTGATAATATACAATCAGGATTCCGTGTTACTGGGATATCACCACTCAACGAAAACATTTTTCCTGACTCAGAGTTTGGCGGATCATATGTAACTGATGATGCCCTTTTTTTGAGACTGTCACACCATCGACTTCAAATGCGTTTTGGGAACTGCCTTCTACTTCTAATGCACTCGTAAAAACTAAAGCAGATTATGGATTGAAAACTCCTAAAAGAGGTTCAGTAACCGATGTAATAAATGTGAACCAAAAGCTGGACCACGTTTAGAAAATAAAAGAAATAACGAAAAAACGAAAAAACGAAAAAGCACTATTTACACAGACTCACCAGAAAAAGAAAATATTTTGCAACTTAAATCAAAACAGAGAGATGGGGTAGGATGACTAGTTTTCCTTATTATACGAGATCCGGCCTGTACACTATATCGTAATGAATATCGTGCTTTTGGCCACTTTTTTCTAGAGCTTAATAGTACATCTATTAACTGAAATCGGTATCAAATATATATACTCTAAAGAAATAAAAATACAAATGCTTAAGCTGAATTTTGGTCAACCATCCCCGGTCTCCCCTAAACCTACAAATTGGTATAGAGAGTATTAAAAATATTAAAGATTATAAGGTGGCCATGGTGTGTAGTAGTTGAGAACACAAAGAAAAATTAATTACACAGATTCAGTCGAAGTTAGGTAACCAAATCAGCACCAAACGATCTAGTGTAAATAAACCAAAAATAAAAATAGCGGGATTACAAGAGGAAACAGATGAAGAAAATCTGGTGGAATGCCTTAAAAAACAAAATAACTTCTTAAATAATGTTAATATATACGAATAACTGTAGAAGTAATAAAGAAGATAAGAAATAAGGACTTCATGGCAATTGTTGAATGTGACGATATACAAACAGTGGACAAGATAATACAAGAAGGTCGCTTAAAAATACAGTGGAGTATTTGTATTAGGATATATCCCCATGTTAATGTTTTTCGATGCTACAGATATTATGGATTCAATCATAAAGCAGCAGTGTGCAAAAACAAAGAAATTTGTAATAAATGTAGAGAAGACATGAAGGTACTTGCAATAGGGATATAAAATGTGCAAATTGTCTAAGTACTAACAGAAAATTTAACTTGGAATTGGATGTTAATCACTCTACATTTGACAAAAAGTGTGCAGTATTTAAAAGGCAGATACAAAAAGAAAGCAATAAATGGTCACTAGAGAACGATAAATATCAATTAAGTGGTGTGAGTTTCCTGGTTTGTTGTTTAAGTGATATAAAACCTGCAATAGTATGTCTGACAGAAACCCATGTAACTACCGAAATTGACGATTGTAGGTTAAATATAGAAAACTTTACATTAGTGTGAGTAGATTCATCTAGCAGAGATACAGGCGGAGTTATTATGTATGTCAAGAAAGAAATTGAGTTTAATGTTAAAAATACTTTTCAACAAGAATTAAATTATTGGTTATTAACTTTAGAAGTAAGAATAGATGGAGTAAATCATATAATTAGTGGGTTGTACCACTCTTCAAACGTAAATCATACAGAATTTTTAAATTTTTTTGGGGATATCGTAGAAATAGTGACACAAAATGAAAATAATATTGTCATAATAGGCGATTTTAATCTAAATTGGGCCAATAATGTTAACAGTTTCGTTAAAAGTCTTAAACAAATTACTAATGATATAGGATTAGTACAAATAGTAAATAATTATACCAGAATCACGGAAGTCTGGAGTCATGGAGTCATGGAGAAGAAGCCCTTGCCAGTTTTTTACTGCACATCAATGCTATTCACCCCCGTATTCAGTTCACTATGTTGAAAGAAAACAACGGGAAACTGGCCTTTCTAGACGTACTTGTCAACAGAAAATCCGATAGATACCTGGGCCATACTGTGTATCGCAAGCCTACACACACCGATCGTTACCTAAATAAAGACTCCAATCATCAGCCAGCGCAGATGCGAGCCATGTTGAAACCCTTATTCATCGAGCTAATCGTATTTGTGAAGCTTCTCTATTAGATGATGAACTTCGCCATCTAGATCAAGCCCTTCAATCCAATGGCTATACGCATTTGTGAAGCTTCTCTTTTAGATCAAGAACTCCGCCATCTAGATCAAGCCCTTCAATCCAATGGCTATACGTCACAGGAGATCAAACGTGCCCTTTATCCCAGAAGAACTGCACCCGGAGACATCTCAACCACCTCCCGCAGGTTTCGCCTCCCTACCATATACTAAAACGGTCACGGATCGCATCCGGAAGTTATTGAAGCGTCATAACATCAGAATCTTCTTCAAACCCATACAACAGCTACCAACCTTAATAAGATCAGTTAAAGATCCTAGAGACCCTTTAACATCCGCCGGTGTTTATGGAATCCCTTGTTCCTGCGGAGGAATCTACATTGGTACCACAAAACGCAGCATCAAAACAAGAATAGCCGAACATGAACGCCGCTGTCGACTTCTACAATCTGAGAAATCGGCCCTAGCTGAGCATTCAATAGAAGACCCAAACCATGTTATCAACCTGACGGAACTACGGTTTTATCTACAACTTCGCAATAATACGCTCGTTTGCATAGAGAACCTATTGATATTTATAAACATCCGATTAATTTTAACAGAAAAGAAGAAGGGCTTCGTTTGAATAAAGTATGGTACCCAGTCCTAAAGAAAACTACGCAGAAAGCGCCGAACACACTGACAAGTCATTCGAACACACCGAGCATTCATCGGATTAGTTCCTGTCCCCTCCTCACCACGCCACTATAAAAATTAGTGATCAGCCAGCTCTCCACCCATCCTTCGATCGACCTTCACAG